AGCCCAAACCGGTTAAAACTTTCTTTTGCCTCCTCATACGCCTCAGTTGGGTTATTAGGGTACTTCTTCCGAATGGCATCTTGAACAATTAAAGAACAGATTATGTAACACTTATTTTATTCCGAAAAAAACAGTCCCTTCGATAAATTTTTTTTTCTTTGAAAACTCTTGTTTTCAGAAGTGACTATTACCTGCCCAGATGCCTTTTCGTGTATCTCCAAATGGTTGGCGATAGTGTGGTCCCGAGGCCTTTTTAGGCGAAATCATGTGACTGGCAATTTCATTATCGGTCCACATTAGCTGTCCTATTTTTCTTCCATACTTTGCAGGGTTTAGAGCAGTCAACCGCAAGAGGTCCTTTCCATTCCACTCAATAGTAGTTTCTGGTTCATTTTCCGCAACCGGTTTACCAGTCCATATCTCGAATTTATTGGCCTAGTAAAAGAACATGTTTTCAGCTTATTTGGTTTTCCTCACTCCTCATTAGAAAAAATCAAGCTTTTAAGTCTCACTTAATTAGAGCTAAATTTCATTCCCTGAATTTATCTATAAAATCTCAAGGCCGCTTACCATCCGATTCATTGACTTTTCAATGCGAATAGTTTCGTCGACATGACGATTAAACATTTTTGAGAGACACTCGTTCATCATTGTCACACTCCTGTCGTGTTTTTCGACTATTTCTCCCAAATTTTGGAGAATATTCATCATTGCTACACGCTCTTCTTGCTGGTAAAAATCAAAACAACTGTGTTAACACCCCTCACTTAGATTTAAAGATCGATTACGTTTTTTTATGAATACCGAAACTTGTCAATTGAAACAGCTCACCAAACAACAGCAGGCAACTTGAGACCCACTTGGCTTTGATGAAGTTTCATGCGCATAATTTGCCGGCATCGACAAACTATGTGGTGTTGAAGCTACCAGCCTGTTCTTTGGACTTATGACTGGGGAAGAATCTGTCAACAAATCCGATGCATGGAACAAGTTTCGCTTTCTTCTTACGGGTGCCAGATTAGCACGTTGATCCCCATTGGTCATTGAGGGCTGAGGACAGACAGAGACTTGAACTTCTTGAAGAACTTCATTCAGGGCTTCTCTCTCCTTGATTTAGATCAATTTGATTGATTTTCTATACTAGTTTTCTATCTATTTTAATTTTTACCGCTGTAATTTCTTCCTCGTCAATTGGAAGACAAAACTCCGGCGGATTTAGACTGGTTAAAGGTGGCAGTTCATTCTCATCGGTGCCATCAATTTCCGTCAAGGTTATTTCATCTTCACAGTTTGGAAATTGAATTCCTGGCTCTTCGTCTATTCCAATGTTGACACAGGCCATGGACAAGTCGATAAGACATCCATCTAGTTTATTCCTCGGCCCTCGTGCATACACTTTCGCCTCATATAGTACACCAGAAATTTTTATTGTTACACTGTGATCTCTCTAAAAAGACACGCTTTTAAGCTCAGAAAGTACCTTAAACTAGTTTTCTGTAAATTGACGAACCTTTATACCGTCTCTCTGATCTAGAGGCATTTGGATACTGGCCGACAAAATATCCATAACCCCTGGCCGTTGGTCTTGGTAATAGAATAAAAGCAACAAAACACCTTTGAGCTTCTGTCTAACTCTATCCTCAATAGCATTGATCTCAGAGCGCATCATTGGGTTTTTGACTGGCCTACCAAATCGAGTTTGAGACATCTAAACAACCATTTGGTTATGAGACATCTAAACAATATTTTGAGTATGAGATATCTGAACTACCATTTGACATTTTAAGAACACAGACAGCACAATGAAAAAAAGAACACGGCTTGTGTTTATCACACTACAACTTTATCGAGTCAGATTGCAAAAAAAGTGAAAAGCAAAATTACAGCCACGAAAACTACTATAGGGCTGTTGTGGCACGATCTTATTATATGCATTTGCTACGACACTTATCTGCAGTCATCGATCCATTCATCTAAACATCTACTTATTCATCCATCTAGCAATCTTTTCAGCCACTCATCCAACTAGCCATCTAGAGATATCGTTCGAGCCATTTATCTATACAACCATTCATCCATTCAACCAACCATTCAATCATGTATCGAGCAAACCGTCTAAGCAAACATTCATTGAGTTATCTAGACATCGATCTATCCATCCAACCAGCCATTTATCCATCTACCCAATCTAGCAATCTGGCTATTCAACCAGACATTGAGCCATCTATAAAATCATCCATCTAGCGATCCAACCATCTAGCGTTCCAACCAACAAATCACTCTTGCACCTTGCCATATAACCAGCCATCCATCCATCCAACCAGCCACATACCCATGCATCATCCATCTTGCCACGAATCAAATTGTTCGTCCATTCAAACTGACATCACTCTGACTATCTAGCGATCCATCCACCCAGCTATCGATCCAATAATCATTAATATTTTTCAAGTTGTTGTGGTACAGTCAGGCATTTCGTAACAATCGGTTAAGATTTTGCAATCGAAACGAGATTGTAAGATTACTTGACTGTGTATTGTTGTGTGCCGTGGTTCCCATGACATAAATAAAATGGGTAACCAAAATGAGAAGGATCTACTCTCCGGAGATAAATCTAACCTATATCTTCATTTTCGATAACAAACACGACAGAACAAACACGAGAAGGCCTTACCAAAAACATAGCCACTTTGAGTCGAGTCGGTCTGAACATTACTCAAAAATAACAAAAGAAAATAGTAAAACACGTCCGAATCCAAAGTTTTTACATATTTTCATTGGTCTGAACAGAAAAATTTTTGATAGGAAAAAAGGTACATCAACTCCACTCTTTTGTGTGTTTTTTGTAGACTATGATCGTAACATTCTTTGCTAATTGCACTGTAACCGGCTTTCATTCTTTAACATGTTTTTTCATTCAAAAGGTGTTGTCTTGAGCTTAAATTTGAAAAAAAAATTTCACCTGTGATCATTTTTTGCAAAGTTTGCAAATGGGGTTTATAGCTTTATTTTGGCCAATTTGTGACAATTAACGCGCAATCTATTTAGCAATTTCAACGCGTTAGCGATTTAATCCGTCTTCCAAATTGGTCGAAGGAAACTTATTTGACATAATTGATTTTGTACTAGAAGCAAAATCTATCTCGTTTTACTTTTTATGGCTTGTGGGGGTTATGATTTTCACAAAAAAAATCTCATAAAAAAATTGTTTCATTTTTTACATATATTTTTCCATGTTATTATTACGGCTCCATAGACCTTAAAAGACATTCGAAATAATCGTTGCTAAGCCACGAAAGAACTTTTTTGTTGACATGCCTTTTTTTCTTGGTTGACTTGAATAAAAATCCGAGCTCTTTCAAAAAGCTGTAAAGATCGAGACAATTTTTCTGGGCGGCTTGAAAATTTTTACAAATCAGGATGGCATAACAAACACGTCATTGAAAAGGTTTTCAAGCGACATCTTACCAATTCTAGGAGATTGTTTAGACAAATTAGCAGACCTAACAGACGAAAAATACTCACTTTCTGAAGTTTCAGCACTTTCTTTTTCGGATATTTTGTCTTTTTCCGTTATTTAGTTTTTTCTGTTTTGAATCAGTTCAATCAATCTGAAAATTGAAAACATTAGAAATACATATACAAAGGGGAAATCTAATCTTTGAACATTGGGCAAAACAAATTCGGGTCAAAACCATGCAAGATAACCTTGGAATTTTTATGATGTCTTCAAGTTGTAGGATCACTAGACCCAGCCTTATAATTCACTTGACCCAGCTCTTTGATTTGGTATTCACAGGCAACAAAACCATGAGAAACCCTAATGATGACAGGCGCAATGAGCGTTTAAGATCTACAAGATATTATGGGCCAAAATGAACTGTGTCATAGGCACCAGCATACCCCTCTAAACAACAAGCAAAAATAACGAATATATAAATAATCCATTGGTTTCATGCCAAAATGAACTGTGTCACAGGCAACAAAACCATAAGAAATCCTAATGATCGCGGGCGCAATGAGCTTTTAAGACCTACAAAATTTAATGGGCCAAAATGAACTGTGTCATAGGCACCAAAATACCCCTCCAAATAACAAGCAAAAATGGACAAATGTATAAGAAATCTATTGGTTTCATGCCAAATTGAACTGTGTCACAGGCAACAAAACCATGAGAAACCCTAATGAAGACAGGCGCAATGAGCATTTAAGATCTACAAGATATTATGGGCCAAAATGAACTGTGTCATGGGCACCAAAATACCCCTCTAAACAACAAGCAAAAATGGACGAATATATAAGAAATCTATTGGTTTCAAGCCAAATTGAACTGTGTCACAGGCAACAAAACCATGAGAAACCCTAATGATGACAGGCGCAATGAGCGTTTAAAATCTACAAGATATTATGGGCCAAAATGAGCTGTGCCATAGGCACCAAAATATCCCTCCAAATAACATGCAAAAGGGTCGCTCATATGCAATAAAATTGTAGAAAATCATCATTGTAAATCAGATTTTGTGCAAAAACAATTGTAAAGATTCCAGAAAATTATCAATATAAACCAGATTTGAGCTCGAAAAGATGCAATGAAATCATAGTAAATCATTATTGTAAATCAGATCTTTGGCAAAAAAATTATAAAACAAATGATTAAATGGGTTAATATAAATCACATTTTAAGCTCAAAAAAATGCAATAAAAATGTAAAAAATCATCATTGTAAATCAGATTTTGTGCAAAAACAATTGTAAAGATTCCAGAAAGTTATCAATATAAACCAGATTTGAGCTCAAAAATATGCAATAAAAACCCACCCCGAGCACCAATACTCCGTTACTTTCGTATCGAAAGTCGGAACAATAAGTGAAAACTCTCTTAACCATTAATAACACTTAATGAAATTACAAATCAGAATTACAGCAAACTTCAATTACTAATTAAACTTAATTCCTATAGCTTTGAAATCAAAACTCAATTAATTCATTGCAAATTGAAGTTTACCGTTTCTTTACTCGTCTGCGCTTCAACTGAGCTGTTTTTGGTCTAGCACCTGAAGTCACCTTCGGCGAATCAGGCGCACTAGATGCGGCTTGAGCTGCCTGAGTTTTCGGACCCGTGTGGTCATACACAGAACCTCCAGATGTTCCTCCCTGAGTACCTTTGTCAACATCATGCTTGTCTTTCTTCTGCCTCGATTTCTTAAACGCACTTCTTTCCCATTTTGGGAGCCAGCGCTCGGGATCCGGCTGGACGTTAGGGTCGAAGGTTTTAGGAAGTCTGGGTTTCTTCTTTTTCTTTTTCTTAGCTAGTTCATTGGCCGCTTCTTGATTAGTAGCAGCTTTACCTGCTTTCTTCAGGGCGTACTTATTTGACAGGAACATATCAGAGGTTTTGGACAACTCTTCAACATCGCATTCGCCATTTAGCTGCTCAATTGAGACCAGATTTTCGCTGTACTCCTTGACCAGCTTTATGTCGACTTTATAACTGCAAGAAATTAGTTGGGCTAAAATGTCTGATTGAGGACCCAATGTCTGGAGCAATTCCTCAAGGTACTCAATTGCTCTGGTATACATTTCTCTCTGAGACCCATTGTTGTCGTTTTTTGTATTTTGGATTTACAGGGGTGATTTTATGGGTTGATTTGCCCTTGACTGAAGTTATATCCATCATCGTTGTTTGGAATCAGCAGGGGGTACTGTAAAGCATTGTATGCTCTATTTCAGAAGTCCTAGTTGAGGTATCACCAGTAGGAGTCCTTTATAGTTTTAAAATGATGTCAATTTTTCGGTAACCTCATTAGGAAGAATTAATGCAGCTTCTTTCTTTGTCAAGATCATCGTGAACATTAAAACTTGATCTGAAATTTAAAAACATTAGAAAATGATCATAGTATTCACCAAATCAAATATGGGTCGGATTGGCAGCAGGCATGAAAGATGACTTTATTCAACAAAAGAGACTTTTAGATTTTATTCTAAGATACATTATCCAACTCCCCCATTACAATACGATGCAAATTAAACAAATTTACGGAGTCTTTTTTGTTGAGTTAAGTCATTTTTCATACCTGCCGCTCATCCCGCCCATTCAAATCAAATTTATTATTTCGAGTTCTGATGGGATTGAGAATGATGTAAGAACAAGACACGTAACAAAACTTGAAATTCAGTTCGAAATTTATTTAAAAGCTTGTTTTTCAGCTAAAAATCTTATATTTCCATGCTCAGGCAACTAAAAATTTGAAAAAGTTGAGGTCGCACATTTTTGTGTTTTTGATCGAATTTTAATATCAATTTTGTTTATATTATAATCTATTATAATCTATTATAATCTATTATAATTCCAACATAATCGTCATAGAAATAAAGCTTTTTAATGGATTGTTTTCTCCATATAATCGATTATTTTACTCTGCAACCACAAAATCACCAGATAATTGATTGTTAAAAAATAATTTTTGGTTCGACCACAAAATCGCCAGATAATAGATAATAATCGGAGAAACTTCGGTGCGGGTTGCTACCCGACTTCATCTCAACTACGAGAGCAAGTGGCTTCTAATGGGAAACTGAACTTGTTTTCCTTTCAGCAACTTTTGTTACCAGTACTGCTGACGTACTCAGTTCTGCTGCCGTGCTCAATTTTTTGAAAAGTCTAACAAAATTACCCCTTACCTAACTGGAGGTGCTTCGCAACTTTTTCAAATATATTTTATAACAAATGTTGATTTTTTCCAGTTTTGTGGTTTTCATCCTAATTTCTATCAATTTCTTTTTCAATTTTTTTGCTAAACGCATTTTATATTATCTGGTACACTTTTGAAGCAGTTTCTCTCTGAAGCTTAGGTTTTTTTAAATTTCTGATTCAAACAGATTTCACTGTAATTGAAATTGAAATTTATCGCTTATTTGAGTTCAACTTAAGTAATATCGGCTGTGTCACCTTATACAACGTTCTTTCAAGGGCAAATATTTGACCTGTTTTGGCCTGTTCCGGAAGTATTGGGTCTTTAAACAATTGATTGTCGTGAAAATTTGATTTGTGGCACTTTGCTTTGTCATATCTGGTCAATATAAAAAAGAGTTTTCAGAACTACACAAGAGGTCTGAAATAAATCGTACTAAAAAAGAGATCTCTTACTCCCCTGTTTGGGTGTTTTACCCTCTAGTCCCTATTCAATTCACCGAACGTTCTACGACCTAAAATTTCAGAGAAAGGGAATTTTTGATTTTTTTTTGGATTATTTTTATTTTCTCGAAAACTACTGGGACAAAACCAAGATTCGAATTCAATAAAATAATGTGAGCTTTGGTATCCCCAATGCATAAGTTGCTACGCTCGAATGCTTTTACAAAAGAGTTTTGACCGACGAAAATGTCCAAATTTCAATTTTTTCCTCGTTTTTTTTCGACTATTTTTATTTTATTGAATACTACTATAACAAATCCGAGATTATGGCTTCAATAAAAGAAGCATCTTCTCAAGAAGTCTTTTGCATAAGCTGCTATGCACATATTTTTGTGGAAAAATTTTGTCTTCAGGAAATTTCTAAGTTTTGAACGTTGTTAGGATTTTCTTTCTCGAAAGCTACTTTGCCCATTATGAGATAAAATTTTAATAGGATGAAGAAAAGTAGTTTTTTTTTGCATTAGCAGCTACGTCTCTGTTTTTCGAAAAGAGTTTTGAAGTAAGAAAAAGGTATATTTTTTTAGAAAAAGACCAGTTTTTTGGAGATTTTGTCGAAAGATACTTTCTCAAATCTTAGATAAAGAGTTCAATCAAAAAACAATTGCTGGAAAGTTTTACTTTACAATTCTTTCTGAAAAGCACTGTTGAAAAAATATTAAAAATTATGTTTAGGAAATGCTTTGGAAGTTTTTTTGATTTTTCTCGAAAACTATGGTGCCAAATCTGAAATTTGCCATAGACTGAAGATTGACTGAATTTTTTTTTCTTTTTCTCAAAAATGATATTGCAAATAATAGAAAAAAAGCAATTAATCAAACTGAAATAAAACCTCCCCTCAAAAAGCGTGCGTGTGCTCCGTCTTTTTTTAATGTTGAGAATCAGCTATGCAGTTTGTAATTTTCCAGTGTTTGAGATTTGACCCATTTTGAAATTTATGCAGAACATTTGGCTTGGGTACGTTTTTGAAATTATTATCAAACAGGTACCTCCATTTTTAGTTGGGCTAGTGATTCACGATTGTTGAGCGGCCACGGCGAGGATGCTAGGACATGTGATTTTCAATATCAAGTTCGGGGTTCGATTCAAGTTATGAAAAGAATTTGTATTAGACTCAATTTTAAAAGCATTTTTAGCCTGTTGCAGGTTTTTCCCTTTTCCCACTTGTTTGCGTAATGTGGCTTCTCCCGTTTAAGAATTTTATAGTTGGAATATTTTATGGCAACATGATTAGTATCGGCTTAAAAAAGTTGACCCAAATTTTTTGCTTTGGATGCCGCTCGGTCTTGGATCCTCAAGGTTTGTTGAGACTCCTTCTGCACACCGAGGTAAAAGTATGAAACTTTTGTAGATTAGTTTTTTCGAATTTTTTGCAGGTAATTTTGAAAGAGCTAAGAACTTTCTCGGTCTAAATATTATAGTTGCCGCGTCCTGTATGACGCTTTATGTGTAGAGAGGTAGCAAATGCAGCGCTCGCGGTTGGTTGTTATAACCGCTGAAATAAATTAATCTTGGGGTTTTATTATATCTTAAATTCTTTACGCAAAGTCAGGTACCACAAACAGTAATCAGAATTACACTCTTTTGTCTAGAATTACACTCTTGTCTAGATTAATGTTTGTTGAAAGATCATTGAATACTTAAGTAATTAAAAAATCAATTTTAATTTAGAAGAGCAATAAATTGAAAATTCAAGTATTATATAAGTTTATATACAAGTTTATACAATTTGTGAACCTTCAAGTTAACCTTGATTCGATTCTCTTCTATGTACAAAGACAGTGCGTGGACTATGTTATAAGCAAAAACATGAAAATTTTGCATGCAAAACATTCAAAAACGTTTTTTTTTTCGTGTTCGTAAAACCAGTTGAGCGACTAAAAGGAGAACTAATTTTTTATCAGATTTGTTTTTCTATACAAGAAAATGCTTGTCATACAATTTTCATAAATGTAAATCGTATGATACAAATTTTTTGTCGACAAAAAATTTTTTTAATAAATTTTGGATAACCACTATGTCCTTATTCAATTGAAAGCCAATGTAAGTTCGATTAAATTAACCTAAGAACCCTTTTCGTAGAATTGTTTTTAAAAAATAGTAGAATCATACCTTTTTCATAATTGGGAATCCAATGATAAGCGTTTTTTCCATAGAGGCCATGCATGGAATTGTATGATAAGCAATGTTTTTGTGTGAAACTGTGTGATAAGCAATTTTGTTGCATAGAGGAGAACTCGGGAAGTCTTGAAAATTGCTAAAACCTTGTCAGAATGATCAAAGAAAACGAAAGTACAAAAGAAGAACAAAGAGAACGTTCTTGCTGCGGAATCCACTTACATTGCACAAAATACACTGATTGGCCTCGTAATGTAGAAACCAAATAAAATTCACTTAAGCAAGCCAAATGTTCATGTGTTAATGTTATCAAAAATGATTCAACTCTATTCCCTCACCCAGGGGATTTTCTGTGCAAGATCTGAAATTCTTTATTTCTTATATAAGTTGATTCTCAGATCTTAAATTCTTTGTTTCAGATATTCATAAGAATTTAGAGGTTTATTTAGAACTTCATTCATTTCATTTTACAAACTCTTTGTCAAAAAAATGAGTTTTCAGCAGAAAAGAGCCGGTAATGAAAGACACTAGAACACTTTTTTACGAAACGGCAACACCTTGGCGCTTGAAAATATGCAGCCAATCAAAGCGAAAGGTTCTCTAACTTTCAAAAAACTGAAACTTTTAATAGTTTTTGCAAACTGTCTTTTCGATACATTGACATGCCACCCTACTGGTTCTATAACACTAGTTAAGTTTTTGCGGTTTCCCAATTTTCTTATGTCAGCTGAAATATTGATATTCGGATTTGATTTCTTTCAAGCCATGAAGCGTCAACAAAAGATAATGTGAAGTGATCATGATCTTATTGATAATTTTAAACACCTGGTAAACACGCCTGGCTTAATCAAACATAGTTAGCATACTTCAATTGATCTCCATCTGGAAATTGACCAACTGTCATTCTAAACAAATCTTAATTAGAGATCAGTCGTTGCATTCTAGGTTGTTTTTAACCCACCATCTTTCAAAGCATTAATTGATCAAATAATTTTGATGCACACATTACTGTGTTTATTATCCGATTTTGGTGCAAATATTATTCAAAATTGTTTTTTTTTGAGAAAAAAATCTATAATTGAATATTAAAAAAGCCAACTCTGCTGGAGTGAATTTCTAAAAGGAAAAAGCAGAAGATCCGTTTTACAATGAAAAATACAAAAGTGACGGCCAAAAGCGTGGAGACGAGTTTTGGCAAACTGGCGGATCACGTGGTCGCTGTTACCGAGACAGATCGGCTGGTTGAGCCAGAGGTGCAATTGAGTTCGTTCAGAAGGAAGTTTGTAGTGTTTCTGTGCTCATTTACAATTATACTAGAGGGGGTCAATTTGTCACTTCCGGGTCCATTCTTCCCAGATGAGGCTAAAGAAAAAGGTTAGTTGAAGAGCATTTTACGTGAGCGAACATTTAAACAATTTTTACTGAAAATTAACACCAAAGGCGTCTAGTTCTAGTGTATTTTTTGGGGCTATTCTCATTCGTGAAGGACCGAATGGGCGAAAAAACTAGTAGGCCAAGGACCGAAGAAAAAATTAGCCGAAAGTCAATTTTTAAAAGGAAACAATTGTCAGTCAGTTTAAATGAATTAAATGAAGCAATGTTTTGCTTCTTTCATTAAGAAACCCTTGAAATGTAAAATTTGTCTCAGTTTTGCGGCGATCAATGACAATTTGAAGATTTTGCATATTTCTGCCGTTTTTATATTCGGCGAATATCAATACTCCAGTCCATGGAAATGTTTACTTTCTTTCCAAATTTTAGATTACTGAAATCTGATTGGAAGATTTTTTTTTCAATGGTCAAGAAATTGATATAATAGCAAAAATAATAACAAGAAAGTAAATCTGTAAAACATTTTTTGTTATATTTTTGTCTTTACGCGAATCCCTTTTTACCTTACCCGATGCTCTACAGCTTTCGAAAATTTCAGTTTGAGGAATTTTTGACCCAATTTTTGGATTTTTTTTCTTTTCTTCTATAACTACCCTGCCCAGTTTGAGATAAAAGGTTCAATCAAAATAAAATAATCTAGAAAACTCCCAAACTTTAGCTGCTACGCCCGAACTTTCGTAGAAAAATAGTTACGGCCTTAGAAATAGTCACAATTTTGAAACTTTGACAATTTTTTGGAAAATTTTCTTGAAAACTACCGCACCAAATTTGAGATAAAGGGTTCAATCGCAAAAACTAGTGTTAGGAATCCTCCATGAGTTAGCGGCCATGCCCTTTTCTGTAGAAAAAAGTATTGGCCGTAAGAAATGTCCAAATTGAAATTTTTAACTTCGACTGTTTTTTGGAAATTTTGACTTTTCTCAAAAACTACACTGTTAAACCTGAGGTTAAGAATTTGATCAAAAAACAACTACGACTTAGTTCTTCTAGACAGCTAGTTTTGGACTTAGAAAAGTATATTTTTGAAAAATCTGACCGTTCTTTGAAGACATTTGTCAAAATCTTCCCAGCCATATTTAAGATGAAAACTTCGATTGACAGAACGGGTGCTAAGATTTATCTCTGCATAACAATTGAGCTTTTTTAAAAAAGCAAGTTGGATTTAGGAAATGTTCATATTATTACATTTTGACCGTTTTTGGAAAATTTTTCTTTTTCGAAAATTCACTGCCAAATTGTGTAGAGTAAAGTTTCAACCCTAAAAACATGCGCTGGGAAATTTCGCTGCTTATCGATTACGCCCTTAATTATGCAGAAAAGTATAGTTGAACCTGTTATAGAGCAAAATGTTTTTTGAATAATTGTTCGCTTTCAATTGTTTTGCTTTTCTCGAAAATTAAGGAGCCAAACTTAACATTAGGGGTCGATCGATGGAACAAAACGTAGAAATATCCCCTGCTTAAGCGAGTTTTTCTAACTTGTGTAAAGATTCATTCCGGTTTGAACTTAAAAAAACTTTTGTCTTGGCCCATTTTTTGGACTACGCTCCATTTTCCAAAAACCATCCCACCAATTCGAAAACAAGGATTTTAACTAAAGTAACCCAATAAAAGCGTGCCTCAGTACTTTGATAGTAGCTATGAAACGGCTATGTCCATCTTTTTACTTTTTTTGTTTATTTTTTTTGAAAATTACGCATTATATTTCGCATCAGTAGATTTTGAAAATTTGTATTAAACAGGTACCTCCAGCGTGGCAAATCCAGTAACTGATTAAAAATTATTAAGCGATTATGGCGCAGAGGCTTGATATGGAAGTCGTTGCCTGGAATTCGGCTTATAGCAGAATATTCATTAATTTTAACTTTTTTCATTTTTTGACCTTTCTGGAGGTTTTTTTCTCGCTGATATTTAAAAAAAAATGAAGCCTTTTTTCTATGTAAAAATCTGTTTAGGCCTTTCTGATAACTGTTTATTTTTCATTTGGTGATTTTGAACTGCATGGCTGGTATCCGCTTAATTCAAATGAACTCACAGCTACTGCTACAACTGTACTACAAAATAGTATTAGGATTAGTTGCTGACGCAAGTACCTCTGTAGAAAGGTTAGTCTTTGTGATTTGCAATATTTTTGCACTTTTAAATCTTATTATTATAATCTGTTCAATTTCATAGCTTTTTTAACCGTTTCTATTGTTTTTTTTTTCACGTGCAGCTTAGCCTCTCTATTAAATGTTCATGAAGCTTTTGAGTTTAATTTTGATTTTAATTTTGATTTTTCGTGGTTTTTATTTTAAGTTTTATAAGTTTAATTCTATTTCATTTTCATTTTAATTTTGATTTTTCTTGGTTTTTTTTTAAGTTTTTTAAGTTTAATTCTATTTCATTTTCATTGGAAAGTCAATTTACGCTCCCGGAATATGAGTGTAAATAGTAGGAAAAAAATTAATGCTTTCTTATTTTTAGAATAGGCATCAGAATAAAAACTCTGATTTTCGATGCAAGTTTTAGTAATATTTTAAATCTTTGAAAAAATGGCCAATCATGAAAAACAGTTCCTTCAAATAAAAGAGAAACCTTCAAACTCACAGAGTATTAATGTGGTAAGTTTTTTCACCAAGTTTAAAAAACTAGAAATGGTCACTCATTTTTCGTTTTAGTTGAGATCAATATCTAAATGTCTGTTGAGAATTTGCCAATGTTTTTGTTAACGAACATTTTTTTCCGGTTGAAATACCCGAGTAAAGTAGTGTATTTAACTATTTTCCGTGAAAGGTTTCTTGTGTTTCACGCCTGACTATTTAAAAAAAAAACGGTTCTGAATGTCTTTGAACTTGGTTGCGTAATAATGGCAAAGGAGATAAATCAGGCATGTTATGCTGAAGCGATTACAGTTCTGTCAAAACGAAGTGATAAATTTTTTCCATTTTGTAAAACCGTTTTAATTTTATTCAATTCAATTGGTTTTCATCAGAAATTGCAAATGTTTCAAGATTTGATAAAATCTGCGATTGAAACTGGAAGAAATAAAGTTATACTCATTTTCATGAAAAAAGGACAATGATGGATGTACTTCTTTTGCGCTCTGATTTTCGTTCTGGTGTTTTTTTTGCTATTTTATGCAGTACAAGAGAACGAAGCGATTGTCACTTATTTTGATCGTGATAATTTTTTTTTTCGTTTTTTTTTCAGAAAGAAGGATAAAAGGTTGATTGTTTGCGGTTTGATTTTTGATTCTTTTTTAATTTTGTCTGACTTCCTTTGTTAAGAAGAAGGCAAGTTCCCATATCAAATAACAAAATCATGAACGAATTCTAGTTTCAAAAGTGGTATTTAATTTTCTCAATTCCAAGCGGAATCAAAATTACGATTTGATCCAGTTTTCTCTAAATGGGATAATTTTTTTGAAAAAGAGCCAATCAAGAACAATTATTGAATTTCGATGAGATTTAACGGATGTATTTTCTCTCCAAAAATCTAGTGTTGAAAACTTTTCAAAAAGTTCCATGATTCAGCTTTTTTCATGAGTTTCGTTGTGTTGTTTATTATAAGACCTATCTGTATACTTTGGTTAAAATATGTAAGGATTGTTTTCCTATCTACGCGATTTCAACAATCCTAGATTAGGCTGATTATCATGATTGTTTAAAAAAATGAATTGTTTGATAGCAATGCTAAACTTTGGCAATATTTGACAATTATGAACTGTTCTCTATGTATATGACATTGTTTGTGATGATTTTCATTCTCGTTGATTTCAATCTTTGAGCAATTGCTGCTGATTTCTTGTTTCCAAGACCGATTTCATGCTGCAACGCTGTTACGTCCGACACGCCGAAGTAACCGATTCAACGTTAAATGAAATTAGTCTTAGATAAACCTTGTGCGGGGGGGGGGGGGGGAGGGGGGTAAGGAGCTCAACTCTATGTTAAATCCTACTAGAATGTAATCACCATTAGTGCAGTCATAGTTGATGCCCTATTCGCCTGGTATGTTACCAAACTTGTAGCCTATTGGTACTAAATGTTTTGTACAGTTTTAATTATTGCCAATCAGGTGCATTGAGTATCACAGAGTTTACCGAATTAGCTAAATCTTTGCTGAGTTCTAACCCGGGATGACCAAAAGTACTAGTCATACAATTTCCATATATGGAAAAATGCTAGTCATACACTTTTCATGCAATTTCATACGTACAGAAAATTGCATGAAAGGTCTATGATTAGTATTTTTTTCATATATGGAAATTGTATGACTAGCATTTTTCCATAAACCAAAAATATTGATTAAAAATTCTAATCATACAATTTCCATATGGAAATTGTATGGTTAGCATTTTTTTTTTCATACCTTTTTTTCCTTTTATTTATGAAGAGACACAAATTTCGATACCAAAACAACTATAAAATACCTTTAAAATTCGATTAAACTCATTTTGCAAAAATGCATGAAATTTGTATGACTAGCATTTTTCCATAGACTAAGTGTATGAAATTGTATGATTAGCATTTTCGGTCTATGGAGGTCAACCCGGGAAATTTTCTATCAGTTTTTCTACCTAAATCAATCAAGAGTACAAATAAAAGTCAAGAAATTGCATATCACTGAATTAGTGGCTTGGGTTTTCTGCAGTTTTGACTGTTGAGTTTTTTGCTACAATGAATCATCTGCACGTATGACTTCTCATCTGCACAAACCTGCTGGCTCATCTTGAGGAGTCCTTCTGAACAACATTTTGTCGGATTTTAGGACTATCTCAGACTCAGATTGGAATTGTAGTTGGGTCTCTAGATGTCGCAAACTTACTGTTCTCCTTCATTGTAGCCACTGTAGTCAATACTAACAACATCAAATTCTTCTTCTCGGCTGGCATGCTTTGGTCCTCAGTTACCGTCGGCGCTTTCGGAATCCTCGGCGACGCACCTGACGGGCTGATATACTTTGTCTCGTGTCTCGTATGTCGCATAGTCAACGGAATCGGAGCGTCAATGTTGTACAGTACCGCTATGCCAATTGCAGTCCAGATGTATCCAGACAAAGCCGGACTAGTCACCACAATGGTCCAGACATGTCTTGGCCTGGGACTATGTCTGGGGCCCCCTGTAGGAAGTGTTCTTTTATCTTTCGGCGGCTACAAAGGTCCTTTCCTAACAGTAGCTTCAATAGAATTTGTAGTTTTTCTAATGGGGGTTTTCGCGATTCCAGCTAAAGGCGCGAAAGCAAAGGCAAAGCCACGAAACTCAGAATACTTTCGTTTTTTGGCAAAGTTCTCTGCACTTAGTGTCGTAATTCCAAGTGCAATGATTTTCTCGATGTCAGGAATTCGCGATAGCGCTTATTCGCTTTATTTCGAAAACGTCCTGAATATTGACTCAAAAACAGTTGGTTTCATATTTCTTTCAAACTCAGTTGGACAAGTATTAACAGGGCCTGCGGTCGGTGTTTTTGTTGAAATCGGCTACGGAGCTTACGTGGAAGCCTTTGTTCAAATTATGGGTCCGATTGTTGCTTTTTCATTCTTTATACCCAAATTCTTACCCGCACTTGAATGTGTTTCGTGGGGCACTTTCATGCTTTTTGCCAACGGGTGCGAAGTTGCTTCGATAATGACTACTTACCTAATTCTAGAGAAAGTTGCTTTGAAACAAGGCTTGACAAACATGCAACAAATCAAAACTATTGTCGCTTCCAGTTATAACTTGATCATGTCTGGCGGTCGAATGTTCGGATCTTTCGTGGTCGGAGGTTTCATAAATGATAAAGTCGGGTTTTACGATATGTGCTTAGTATACGGTATAATTCTATGCGTTTCGGCTGTTTGGCACATTTCGTTTTTGTTCAAAGTGGGTTTTATTCGGAAACTGTTTTACAACAACGAGGTGGATGTTAAATTTATAGAGGATAAAGGCAAGGTTGGCTTGTCAACGTCAACTGGACGCAAAAATACTGAATATGAAGATGATAGCTCGGATGAAAATGTTGATGATGATATTATGGTGTGGAAAGCTTCAATATCCACAATGCTTTTGACAAGCATGAGCAGGTCTCAAAATTTAAACCGATGAACAAACTCTGCAAACTGAAGAAATTTTCCAGACAAAAATTGATATACGGCATGTAAGCAGTTGTAATTTCGTACTCAAAAATATGTAATCTTGAAAAATTTTATACTGATTAGCAGGGGCGGATTAAGAAATCCGGCTTTGGTGTTTTATAAGAAAACCTTTTTTGGCCGACCGACCCTAAAATTTTTCTAAAGGCGCCTTTGGCGCCAATATAAACTAATTTTGAGGGGGATGTCAAAACTTTCCAAAAAGTGCCCAAAAACGCCTTTTTTGGACTATTTTTTCAAAAGTTTGCCTGCGCGCAGAAAATTTGGCTAAAACAGGGACTAAACCGTGCCTAGGGAGAGCTCGAAACATCAATTCATTCGACCAAATTTTTGAAATTTTTTTGAAAATCTAACCCCCCCCCCCTCAAAAATCCTAGATCCGCCCCTGCTGATTAGTGTATTTCTTGACTTTTCAATTTACTTGTTGTTTGCTAGCATGCTCCGATTTTCAAACTATGGTCAGCTAATTTTTTAGAGAAGAACTAAGTCACTATCTCAATAGAAGCAATAAGTAGACAAAAAATCTAGCCTAGCTAAAAAAATTGAGAATCGTTAATTCAGTATTGCATTGTACAAAAAACTAGTTTTTGTTCTAAATTTCGTAACGAAAAGTCACAAAAAAATTTTCACATAAAATCTCAATTTTTAAACAAGTTTTTTAAAATTTCATTTCATTACTCTTAATTTTTTGTTATTACTGCTCCATAGACCTTAAAAGGCACTCGGAACAATCGGGGCTTTGGCGTTATACGAGCAATCTTGTTATGCTATTAGTGTTCTCCTCTCCGTACAAAAAAAATGATTTAATTTGCAGCTCAGAAACCTATTTCAATTTTTCTAATCGGCGTTGTTTCATCTTAGATCATGTTTGTACATTATTTTTCTTGTGTGTCGATTGATGAAATTCAAGGTTCAATTTAGCAGTTATTTGTTTGATATCCGTGATCACTAGTGTACGCTTTCTGAAACTCTAAGTGATGACCTTTTTGGCAGTGAACTTCTAAAGGTGAATATTATACTTATATATGATGGATGAGGACACACTGGTTTGATTTCCAATTAAGGAAAAAAACTAGCTGAATGAAAGCAGAATTTTTTTTTGCACGAATTTTTTCTGTTTTTTTGTGTTTTTGTGCGAAAAATTGAGAAAAATTGACCAATTCCCTTCGACTCAAAGAAAAGGTTTTTTTTTGTATCCATTCCAAATTGTGTCACTTTGTTCCGTATGCTGTATTGATACGTGTCAATTTGTGTTTTTTTTCCACTCTATTACATGTTCAGATGAAAAAAATGGAATTATATGTAACCTAACCGTTAATTCCAAATCAATTCATTACAACTGAATTTGAACCAGTTTTCCAAGTTTCTAAGCAAAAAATTATACGCTTTTAACTTTGGTTAATTGTTTAGAAAATCAAACGAAACCCAAGTAAACACCAGTTTAACAAAGTTATCTTTAATTTCTTAGTTTGATATCAATTTGATGATGCTGTCATTTAATCTGTTGTATAGTATAGTTTCAACTATAGTTGAATTTTTTCATAATTCGTATAAGACGCTTATCAAAAAATTCGAGAATTCAACTTTGTTCCGATCACTATAAGTCGGGAGGAACTATGTCTTTGGTTTGGTTTGAGGCTTTTTTAAAAATATTCTTTTATGAAAAGTCAAGAACCACGGTTATTTATTGGAAAAGCTTGAGTGATATATCATATTGAACAATGTAAGTCGTATTTCTAGTTCCAGTGTCGAGAAAAAACGCTATGAAATTTTTATTTTTTAGTTTTATTTTGCTTATTTTGGTTGAGTAAAGCAATGGACGAGGTCTTGAAATCTCTGAATAGTCTAATTCTTTTTATTCAACTTAAGCATTCATAGTTTTACTCTAGAAAAGTGCTAGTCTAAGTTGCTTTTATTGCCATCCTTAAAAAAAGCTTTGAAAAAAATGAAAACATAAGTCTTAAAATTTAATAAAATCTGTTGTCGATTATACTACTACTAAAAATTGCATTACTGTCAAATATGCCTAATTTCTACGAATGAAAAACATAAAGATTTGAAAAAAGATTTTCTAAACGTTTTACTAAATGTGGTGAAAACTTTTTGTATTACTTGTACAGCAACGGGCTATCATTGGTTTAGCATGCGCATGGCTTCAAATAAGTTTCCAATACAAATACTCAAATTATTTTGATTTATTTTAAATTGTGCCTTTCGTTCCAATTTTCGGAGAAAGAAAAGAAAATTTGTGATCATTCTTGAGACACATCTCAATTTTTAGCAAGCAAATTTTGTATCTATCTCTTGTCCCATATCATTTGTGTTCTTGGAAAAGAGTTTTTTTCGTTTTTGAGAGCAAACGTCTTGCAATTGGGAACTACAATTTTCGCACTAAAGTTTTGCCACAAATCTGTAGGAAATTGAACCTGCTGTAATTGTTACATTCTACAACTACCAAGTTCCTTGCAAGTTGCTCTAGAATCAACGCGGTTGTCTGGCTATCAAAGGTATGAGATTCGAGTACCGGCCGGGCCTTGTTCTTTTCAGTGCATTGAAATTTTTTCAGGGAAAATATTAAAACGTCGGACTTTTTTTGTCTGTTTTTTTGTCGACTTAGTTGTCAGATCACAGGCTGATATTTTTTGTGTTATTCCAAATTATTTTGTGTTGATAGAACTTTTTGTGTTGTGTGGCTTTCAGTTTGTAGATTCAGTTTTTGACTGCTTAGCTGCCACTTGGTCTAATTAATTTAAGAAAATCTAATTAATTCTAGTGGTTGTTTCTCTACAATCTAGTTTTTTCAATTTTTCCAAAAATTGATTATTTAATTTTTACCTCGTATTTTTGCCGTTTTTTAATTCAATCGCATTGATTCAATCTCGTGGCACTAAGCATAGTGGTAAGGCGTTCACTTCAAGATCGTCAGATCGTAATCGATCCCCTGCCATGGCAAGAGAGTGGGTGAGGACGAGCTCTCACTTGACCTCCAGCCTCAGGTGGGCCACTGCCTGAATGATTGCGGCTGCAATAATCGTACCACTTGAAAATTCTAGACGCGAAAAAACGGCCTTCTAGATGCGAAAAAAATGAGCTTGCTCAACAACATTTCTCAGTCTGGCATGTGGGGAAATAAGAGAAACGTACTATGCTTAGACAGGCTGGATAGCCTTTCATGTATATTCTGCGAACCGCAGAAACCACAATATTAATTCCTGAACGTCAGCTTGCAATGCTCCGCTTCGTCTGTGTTGAAAACCTTTTTTTTGTAACTTAATTTTCTAATTTTCAACACTACTCCACAGCATAGACCTTAGAGGGCATTTGAAATATGTATGCATGGGGTGGCTTCTTAGTTCAGATCGTTTTTACAAAATACATTGACAACGAGCGTGGGTTGAGCAAAAATTTTCCAATTGCCGAGCAAGTGTTCTTGCACTAGCCCAAGTTTGGTTAGAAACCGCTCGAATAATACTTGAACCATTTATTATGAAAGTGAGAAATAATTATTAGTCATATCAACTGAACAAAACGGCCGCTCGTATATCAAGGCAAAACTTTGAATGTTTTTACAGCCTCTTAAGTGGTAATAACTTTTTTTCACGCAAACTTAAGTTAAAATATAAGATTTGGACTTTGGCCCGCCAAAACGAAAAAAAAATAAATGAAAAAACTTATTATGAGTCGAGTTGATATGACTCAATTTTATCTCTCATTTTCATAGTCAGTTTTTTCATATTTTTTGTTCTGGCAGTCCAAAACTTATATTTTAACAAAATTTTTGTATAAAAAAATATTACCAGTTAAGGAGCAGGGAAAACATTCAGAGTTTCGCCTTGATATACGAGCGGCCGTATTGTTCCAACTTTCGAATACAGTGAGGAATACATAGGTTTGAGGTGGTTTTTTATTCAGACTAATTTCCAAAAGAACCTTTTGACTTCTGAAGAAAGAAAAGAACTTCTATGTTCGTTGATAGTTATTTTAATTTAGACCATTTTTCGAGAAAAAAAATCACAATGAATCAATCCCTGATTCGTTTTAGATAGATAATTTTTCTGGAGAATACAAAACCACCCCGAGCACAAACTTTCCTTCACTTACTTAAAAACTCCACTAACAACATATAACACGTCATTATGGCTCTTTTAAAGTGCTCAGAAGTAATTTATTAGGCATATGCTTAGATAAGAGTAATTCGCTAACAGAAACACTGGTTGCAATAAGTTCATAATAATGCCAAAACTCTCAAGCCTAATTTTCGATTTTTTAAACGAGTGGGTCTTTTTAGCACGGCTAGACCCTGAACTAATTTAGATTAATATATAGACCGATACTTTAAAGAAAAAACAAAAGTTAACCATTGTGCAAGCTGCAAAAAATGTGTTTTTTTTCTGTGAAGTATCGTTCTAGAAATTAACCTAAATTACTTCGGTTACACAATGGTTAACTTTTAAGATCATTGTAATGCAGACTCGACGGAATGCTTTTTATTGATGTTTTTCAGGTTTGTCCCAAACTCAGATTGGTTTGGTTGTTGGATCACTGGACGTCGCCAATCTGTGCTTCTCCTTTGTGGTCGCCAGCGCTGTCTCCCCTAAAAACATCAAGTTCTTCTACTCAACTGGCATGCTCTGGTCCTCGGTGACAGTCGGCGCCTTCGGAATCCTCGGGGACTCCCCCGACGGACTAATCTACTTCGTCTCGTGTCTCGTGTGTCGTTTATTCAACGGAATCGGAGCCGCAATGTTGTACAGTACCGCTATGCCAATTGCAGTCCAGATGTACCCAGAAAAGACGGGAATCATCACAACTGTAATCCAGACATCTTTGGGTCTGGGGCTGTGTCTGGGTCCACCTGTCGGAAGTTTGTTAGTACCTCTCGGAGGATACAAATCACCCTTTTTAACTGTGTCTTGCATCGAGTTGATCGTTTTTCTTCTCGGATGTGCAGTCGTTCCAGCCCGAGGCGCAAAAACGAAAGCGAAAGTACGAAGCTCGGAATATGTTCGGTATTTATGTCGGTTTTCAACTCTGAGCATTGTCGTACCGACCGCCGCAATATTTTGCGTTGCGGGGATTAGAGATACAGCTTATTCGTTATATTTCGAAAACACGCTCGGTTTAGACTCGGAAACAGTCGGGTTTATTTTTATTTCAAACTCGGTTGCGTATTTGATCACCGGTCCCATCGTTGGAGTTCTGGTCGAGTTAGGAATGGGACCCTATGTCGACTTGTTTTCCCATATATTCGTTCCTCTAATTTCCTTCGGGTTTTTCATCCCTATGATTTTCCCCGCTCTCGAATGTGTACCGTGGGGTCTTTTAATCCTCTTCGGAAACGGCTTCTCTCTCGCTACGATAATGAACCCGACTTACCTTATCCTGGAAAAAGTGGCAATTAAACAAGGACTGACTAATATGCAACAAATCAAAACTATCATCGCCTCGACGTTCAATCTGGTTGCGTCTTCCGGACGAATGTTCGGCTCTTTCGTGATTGGTGGATATCTTAATGACAAAGTCGGTTTTTATTACATGTGCCTTTCGTATGGAATAGTCTTATCAATCGGAGCTTCCTGGCATATTTTATTCCTGCTGAAGAACAGATTTATTCGTCGAATGTATTATGACGCGAATGTTCCGACTAAAAATATGGAAGACCGAGGAAAAATCCGACTGGACACGACGACAGAGGGCGAAAAAGAGGAGGAAAACGAAGATGACGACTTGATGATGAAAGCGACACTGTCTAATATGTTTATGAACAGTATGAGCAGATCTCAAGTTTTAAACAGATAAATTTCACTGATGAATTTCAGAATTCGCAATATTTTGGCAAATATTGGCTTCGAAATTTCATAATTCAAATTGTAGAATTTATTTATTAGCCTTAATTTTTCAATTCTCTTGGGTTGAAGTTTCAAAACGTTTCGTGTACTTAGTTATGAAAAAATATGAGCATATAAGTTTTGGTGAATAAAAGTATTCACAGCATCGTGAGTCGAGATATGAATCTGATATCGTTTGGAACATTGCATACTTTTTGGCAATATGGTCAAAATTTAATGACCGAGAAAAAAACTGATTTAAAAAAACTAGCTAATTTGTATTAAACACTACTTTATGCAATACTGTCTTAAAATTTAATCTTATTTTGTTCCTATAGAACTATTTTTTTCGCGAATAATTCGCGAATAACTAAAAATTAGTCTCTCAGTTTTGGACATAGGTCACTCACCTGCGCTTAGAACTGTGCAGTGTTACACATAGATCCGTATACACGTATATCAACCAAAAAAAAACAGGTTGAAATTTTTTCTTTCAAAAAATCTTTTTGTGGACCAGGTAGCACAACAAGTAGGCTTTGAAATTCCCAAAAAAAATGACCGAAATTGCCTAGACATAAAACAACTGATCGTTAAAAAGGCTGCCTAACAAATTTCTATAAAACTGTTTTAACTCCTACGTAAAATTTTAACTCCTACGAACCACATAGAGCCATTTACTTTTTAGAGGCCACATAGAACCACATAGAGCCATTTACATAGTCTTTTTTCCTACCCAACTTGCAATTAAGAACGCTTATTTTGTGGCACGATTACTGGCACAGCATTGGCAGCTCAATAACATCTACTAAATCTGCTATATTGATAGATAGTATTTGACGATTTTCAAAAAACCATAATGCAGATGCCGATGCGAAGTATTCTTAATCTTCAAGTCGGGGTGCGACTCCAGAGCATATCAAAAATTACACTTAACAAAAATTTCACTGGCAATTAACTAGCTATTTTTTATATCCTATATCAGTGTCTACTGTTTAACACTTGACAAATGAGCATGGCGCAGAGCTACGACGTGAAACTCATAATCTCCAGGTCGGGCGTTTGATTCAGAAAAACGTCCCTTATTTTTTTTACAATTTTAATTTTTGCCCGTCTTCAAGTCCGCTTGTGTTTCAGACGTGCGGTTTCAGTTTTTTGTATAACTTTAGGAGGCGAAGCTCAATTTTTGCCATTCAAAGTCGTTTGTTAGTCCAAACCTTATAACCAAACTCAAATCAGAGATCATTCTCACAGACTATCATTTCCATGTCAAAATTCAGATAAACAATCTGACCTCCTCAAAGTGAACTCAAAAATATTTTAGCACAGGAAAAATTTCTAAAGTTAATTTAAATTGAAGGGCAGGGCGCTTATATGGATATTTTTTTCGAAAATGATTTTAAAATTATAGTTATTAAAAAAAAACAATTTTTGATACATTCTGTAAATTAAGTTCATTTCATCGGTAAGCTGAGCTAAAATTTTCATTTTTTCTCTTCATTAGGGTAAATTTGTTTTTTTAATGTAAGAATTTACGGAAATATGAAAAAAAATTGTCTCTCAAATTTATCGTGAAAGCAGTTTAAAAATCAGAAAAAAAAATTAGCTACTTCATTATAATTCAACTATATTTCAAAAGCAATTCAAAAGTTTTGGTATAATTGCCAATTCAATTCAAAAAGATTGAAAAAAAAAACTGGAAAAAAAAGAAAAAATTCTTAACTTTTTTTCAGCGTATCGAGAGACTTATGCTCGACAAAAATTCAAATTTTTCGAAAAAGCCACTGACTAGTTAGAGAAACCAAACTAAACATAAAAGACAGAAAGCGTCGACAAAAAGGTTGTGCCCTTGTACCTTAGAAATGAGGCTTTGTTTGGCACCTACCTTGATTGCCATCAATATGATTACTCAGTTTTCTATGCAAGTAATTTTTTCTTAAGCACAAATCATGCTCTAAAGTATCTTTAGAAAACCATAATTCTTCATTGAATTATTGCTCATTTTACATAAATAATCAAGACTGCTCGTATGATCAGCGAAACTTTCACCGCTTGGACTGCCCCTTAGAAATTATTTTCGTGGATTAGTTAAAAAATAGTTTTTTGTTTCGTTTCTTCTTAATTTTACTACCCCCACAAGCTGTAAAAATAACGAAGTGTTATATTTTGCGCCTTGTAATTTAAGAAAAAGGCGAATCACTGTTTGTGATTTTCTTTGGATTAACATGGTTTCTATTTATGATAAGTTATTTTTTCTATTTCAAAGTTTTTAAATGTAGCATGTATTTAAGCGAATTGAAAAAGTTCTTTTTTTAGAAGTTCGTAGGTTTCTGTACTACTGGGTGACCTCCTTAAAAATGCTTATCTGCTATTCTGAAAATTTTGGAATTATGATTTTCAATCAAGTTTCATAAAAACTTTCAAAAGTATTTTAGACTTTAAAAACAAAACTTTCATCTGTTTGACTATTGTGATGCTTTCTGGTCATCAAAAAAAATTTATTGTCTGGGTTTAAAAAATTATCATACAATTTCCAAAATGAAAAAATTGTTTTAGAGATATTTTCGCAGCAAAAAAAAACACTCTTCGAAATACATTTTTAGGCAGTTTTGAAATAGTTCAAAAATATTTTTTTTTGTGAGTTGAGAGCACTTTAGTTATCATAATTGTGATCTTAATTTTTGTCAAACAAACGGTTATTTTCCTTAATTTCATATATTTTTCTATAAAAATTAAACGACATTTGGTCGCGAAATCAATTCATTCTATATCAAACAACTCTTTTAAGTTTTTTTCTTCTACTTGAGAAAAAAAAAGAACCACGCAAAAAAATTCAAATAAGTGTTTTAATTCAAGCCAAAATTTTTTGTTTTCACTTCGGTATATAAATCTAAATCTGATAAAAATATAGCTCACAAATTCAAACAACATTTTTGAAGCAAGAATTGCTAGCCATATAAAAAACAGGTCAAAACTGCGTATTTTGGCGTGTGCTTCGCTTCAAATTGGAATACAATGGCGCCCGAAGCGCTATTAGAAAAATTTAAAGTTGGTCAGCCGAAAATGGAGATCATAAAATAATACCAAGGGGGCCCTTTGTTTGATGAGGGGGTCGAATCCCTGAAAAGGGGGGTGCGTCCTCCACCGCCCCTCCTAATTCCACCACTGCTCTGAATTCTGATTAGCTGACAAAATTATCTGGCGTTAGGTTCTTCTGGTATAAAGGATTGCCCTCGTCTTGGATAATTGATTCAATCATATTTCAACATTCCGCAGAGGGAGTTTCGCAGACAATGAGGCACGAGAAAATGAGCAGCTCTGATGGGCTTAGCTCGTATAAACCCTTACTGTTCAAATTTGTAGTGCCATCCAATTGTTGGGCTAGGTACTTTAAGCATCGCATAATCACGAGAGCTCTCTTTGTATCCCACACACTTTTTATAACTTCAATCATAAAATTCTGTTTTCATTTGTAACTTTCAAAACAATTGGCATCCGGTTTGCTCGCTAGCTATTGTCTACTCTAAAGCTATACCTAAGTCAAACTCAAGTTTAATCTGTTTGCCCAAACTTAAGATCACGTTTCATCTCAAACTTACGAGCAAACAAACTCTGACCATAGTTTAATCATACCGTTGCAAATTCAATCTATTACACTCGAACTGAAACAACGCTCAATCTGATTGGACGATGGCCTCGACCAATTATAGTCTTTGGTTTAGAGAAAGAAACAATGTACTTCATGCCAATATAATCGATCATCATCATCGTGTTTCGAGAGTTTAATGAGCACAATATTGGTGAAATTATTGTTAGCTATCGCTGGATCTATTATAACATCAAATAAACTGGTAATAAACTGAGTGTAACAACTAACTTAGTAGAGAGCAATATCGTGTGGTATTATTATCAACTTGGTATATTTCTGGTTTGGTCAATTACAAACGTTAGTTTGATCAAGAGAAGGTCGGCAAATACCCAAACATAGAACATCCTGTTTCCAAAGATCCCCTTGCGGATGTCTTCCTCCTTGGATGCAATGCTGCCCACGTTGGCGCCTCCTAGCGACCTGGACTTGTACACAGGTGCACTTGACCTTCAGTTATCCAATCAAGAGCAGGTGTCTTTTGGCCAGGGTGGCTTACTGACCCACGAGTACAGCAGTATCAACCCAACTGACATCATTCCGAGTTACGAGTTTCCTTCAAATGGCTCTTGTAAGTTTGCTCTGTTACATTCAACTCCGGATGTTAATCAATTGCAGTTTCCTTTCAATCAAAACTTTAATCAAGGCTAGGACACAACATAAATTGTGAATGACCGAATCATTAAGCACCTATCATCGTCATTAGTATTAGGACTCCCTAAGCTTGAGAAATATCTTCTGGCTTTGATTACAGGAAGTGCAATTCAAACATCTTTTTACCATTTCAGTTTGGGTCAAAAAGCGTTTCTGCACTTCTGGGCATCACTTCATGTGAAATTTATCCTGCTTTTGTACCTTTTAATATTTATCTGGACAAAAAAATTGATATTTTTTACTTTGAATAATATTTGTTTAGAAAAGATAGTCGAATTGAATAATTTCATCTTGATTATTAGCAATTCTGGGAAATCGGAAATGTCCAAGTACCTTCCCCGACCGTGCAATTACCTGTGTCGCCTCAAGGTGTTGCATCCTTTTTATCGGGCTGTTAAATTTACCTAATTTGGATCTTTTTCTCTAAAGGCACCTGGTTGTCTGGAAAGGGATACCTAGCCGATCGCACCTTCGAATTGAAATAATGATTAAAAGTTTCATAAAGATAGAGTCCCAATTTTAGGATGCGTGAAAACACCTTTAGGTTCATTGTTGCAACGCCGACTTTTTTCGCGTTTATTTGAAGTTGTTTGATAATTTGTTCACGGCTACCTGTGTGACAATCAGACACTATCAAACTTTCTGGACAATTTTAAGCTCCATTTTGCAAACATTGCCGTGAAATATAACTTTGTTCACTAATCACTCAAATTAATTTGAAATCCAGCTGCACACTTAAAATTAATTCAATTCGGATAAATTCGAAATACACTTGAACAAATTCTGAGTCTTTTCAATTTTAGCCATTCATTCGGGTCTGTTTGAAGCCATGTCATCCTCCATCTGTCCGATGGCAGCAGAAAACGAAGCCCAGATTGAGAACTCTGCAGACTACTCCTTCTGGACAAGCTCACCTTCAAATTGCTCAGTTCCGTCTTCAGAAATCAACCAAGTCACAGCGAAATTTCCAATGTATTGTGCTGAGCTGAACATCCCATTAGGTAAAATTTGGTTAATTTGGTTCAAATTACTTATCAAAAGTACTTTATTTAGTTCAAAAAGTTGGAGCAAGATACTTTGACCTGCGACTTTGTTATATCTTTTGTAAATGAAAAAAAAATCATTTTTATCATTGTTTTAATGAACACTTACAAGTATGAGTTGTATGGATACTTTTCAAGAGCAGCTAAAATTATCCTTTTAACTAAGATTGGCTTCCCTCTTACATACTTATCAAGCTCATTGTTTTTGATAGGATAGTCCGTAATTAACAAAGACGATAGCAACCTGAAAAATAGACTAAAAAAAGACCCCGTTGAATACTTAAAAATTAATCTTATTTTTATTTTTTTGTTTTTTCGTTTAGATCCCTATGACTGGGACTCGAAACACATCTCCCTGTGGATTGAATACCTGGTCCAGGAGTATTGCATCGATGACTGTTACTTGAGCTACATACTTCCTTTGCTGCCCCAAACTGGGCAGAAACTGATCGATTTCTTGGACAAAAACTATCAGGCGATTCCATTTGGGTACAAACTGATCGAGACACTGATATGTCTTCTTGAATGTAAGTAAAAGCAGACTTGCTGCCCTTATCTCAATGAAGACCCATTATCTCCTTTGGAAGACTTCTCTTCAGCTGAAACACAACTTAGAGAAGAGTGCTCCTTAATGAGTAACTCAACTCAGCTTATCAAAAGGGTCATTAATAACTAGAGAGACTTTTTTTCGAATGTTGGCGGAAATTGTCGCAATCCAATTATAGTTGAAGGTACACACAAATTAGCTGTCATGAAATTAAATTCTAAATTATTTTCCCAATTTCAGTCAAACTTTCAACCAATTTTCTTAGGGTACGTTCTCTGTGGATACTTATCAAATTATAATTGTTTGGAATTTGGGCATTTTTCAATTCAACTCTTTCAGAGTTTCTAATTATTCCTTTAGCACTAACTTCATTTTGAGGTATTTAAATTTAGATAAAACATCTCTCGCTTCTCTGTCCGGGTACTCAGATTGCGCCGTTGTCATCCCGAAAATGCCGACCTCTTCAGTGCTGCAACAACACTCGAATGTGCCGGCTGATTCTCCTCTGAGTAGACATTCTTCCGGTGCAACTAACCCGATGGCCACAGAGTGTTTCGAGTCGCCGCCTCTTGTGTCTCATTATGCCAACAACCAGTTCCCTTACCAGTCTTATTGTGAGTAATAACTTGAATAACCTGTTAAAAATTCTTATATGCTTTAACAAATAATAAATGTTACAATAGTTAAACTAAAATTTCAAAATTTCCCATAAAATTTAAAATTATATTAGTAGTTACAAGTTACAACGTTACTGAGTTAATAGAATAAGGAAAAGAAAACGAAGTTTAATGCTTTAAAAAGTTCAATATAGTCAAATTTTCACGATGAAACTTTTACTGAATAATATGCGCAGGATTGGAAGAAACTCGATCATTTGGGTTCAGTTGAGTAACTTACCTAAAACTTTATGGTGATTAAATCGATTTTGTTTTTAGATACTTCGGACTGTGACTCTGGCTACCAGAGCTCCGAGAAACTCTGCTCCCCGTATCATCTGCATGACACAACCCCCCAACAACAACATCAACAACAACAACAACAACAACAACAACAACACATCAAGCAAGAGATATTCCACACAAACTCCATGTCCCGAACCCCCTGCCCGAACTACGGGCAAAAATCACCCCCGATGAACAACAACATGTCGTCCTTTGAACAGTCAAATTCAGGTCGACTGCCGATGTTAATTGCAGGAGCACCTGAGTTCATGACAAGCACACCCAACTCATCACACTCTAATATACTAGCGAACGATTCAAGTTCACCCTGTGATGCTTCGGGTATAGACTACCACTCGCTCGCAATCCAAGAGTACAATTCTACAAACGAGGCGAACTTTGACGAAGTAGCGGCGGCGTCTTTCTTGGCGGCTTCTCAGAGCAACCACACTCAGCACAACAATCATCACATTCATCACATGCATCACCATTCGGGAGGGGGAGGGGGAGGGGGACAGTCAGTAGGAGGTGGTAGTCTCACGTCAACAGCAGCACCGAACTCAGCGTCACAAATTATAAACTTCTCAAACCAACCATGCACACCATGTAAGTCATTTTTTTCCAAGTTATTAAAATTTCTATTCGAATTCTCAAATTGGCAAACCAATGCATCATGGTTTCTATGGAAACATCAATGATTATAAAAAGCTTTGAAACGTAATAACTGAACAGCATTTTGAATTATTGCCAAAACTTTGCATTCATTGCTCTTTCACAGTTCATCCATAAAATTGTTTAGAATTGAATGATAAGTTTGAAAATGACATATGATTTTATTTGAAATGTTTTTAGGCAAGTACGAGTACATCACACCTTCAGACATGCTCTTCGCACAATACCCCGGTCTGATTGGACCAACAGGTATGCACCCCCCACCACCAGCAGCAGTAGCCCAGAGGAGGTCAGCAGTGGGTGGAATGGCCCCTCCCCCTCCTGTCCACTCGACTGTGGACTTCGGGGGCTTAGGGTACCCAGCCTCCCTCTATGGTCATCACACTATGGACCCATACGACCACACTAGACAGCCACACCAGACAAACTCGCCTAATGGAAACAACAACTGCGGTAAGTGCAGTTTAGAAATAGAGCATTTTTTATTGTTCAATTTTTCCCATATTTTTCAACTAATTTTCCCCCGAAGAGTGCTTCCCGATATAAAAAACACCCGATTAATTTTTGTACTGCACCCAAAAATGTAATTCAGAAAAAAGCAAAAAAAGTAAAGAAATATTTAAAAGATGTCCAGTTTTGAGATAAATGAATCCTTATTACTCTTCAGGAACTGGTCCAATTCAGCTGTGGCAGTTTCTGTTGGAGCTTCTGATGGACCCATCGAAAGAGCCCATCATCTCGTGGACGGGCGACGCCTACGAGTTCAAACTGCACGACCCGGACGAAGTGGCCCGTCTGTGGGGGTGCAGGAAAAACAAACCCAAAATGAACTACGAGAAACTGTCACGTGGGCTCAGGTACTACTACGACAAGAAGATCATCACAAAGACACAGGGCAAAAGATATGTGTACAAATTTGTATGTGATTTGAACAAGTTAGTGACCGAACAACAGCAGCAGCAACAATCTGACCAATTTCCGCAATTTCAAACGCCTGTTTCCCAAATGGAGGAAAAAATGGCACCGAAAATCATCTGAAAAATTAAAATGCAATCAAAAACTGGAGAAAATTTTGAGTTGAAGCAACATTGAATTTGAAAGCTGGACTTTCGAATTTGAAAATTGAATAAAAAAACACTTTCCTTGTCTATCCTAACCTTAAGCTCTGTATCTTGTAAATACTTCTGTCAACCCAGCCAGCAACCAGTGCTTCAAACACAAATTTGATTTCAGTTTTAGATTTGAACCCTGTTTCAAATCACGGTCATGATGAAGAATTAGTTTTGCTCGTGGCCGATCGATATATAAAATTTATTCGTGTTCCTTACCTATAACGATAGATTGATTTTGCTGCGCTAGTTTGTTTAACTCTTAAGTAAATGAAATGCCATGCCAAGTTTTCTTTATGTCTTTGACTCAGTTGAAGTTGAGGCGTTCAAATTATCCCAAACTTGCAAACATACCGATGCAATATTTATTTTTGTTATTTCTGTTGATATAAATATCATAGAGCGAAGCAATTGATCAATTAATATATGTATGATTAAATTAGAATTCAACAATTCAATAGTTTTTAAATCAGTTTTCAACTTTGACTTGAGCCAGCCACGATGATTTTTTTGATGAAGCGGACCAAGCTTCACTCTTGGTAACTCAGGAATGCAATCGCTCGTTAAGAGTGTCCAAAAAGGGAGGCTGGCTTACTTACATTCTAGTTTTTTCATTAACCTAACTTTCCCACCTTTTTTATTGGATCTCTTTAATTATTAATTTAGACCCCCAATCCTAAATTTTTATGGAGGTGCCCTTGACGTCAACAATTATGAATGTCGAAAAAAGCAATTTTAAAAAAATCTCCCAGAAAGTAGCCAAAAAGAGTAGTTTGGTACGCTCTTTGAAATTTGTTTCTGGCGCTGACAGTTTTGACAAGTTAGCGTGCTTTTGTTGGCCTGTGAGGCTAGATTTCCCCGTCTCACTCAAGCAAAAACCTTAAACTGAGAAAACCGATGTTAATCTAATACCCTTCACAAACTTGTCCTGACCTTAAATGGTAAGCTGGTTCTTGTTCTATTGTGACCAAAACAGAAGACGTAAACAATAACATATCTGATGGTTCAGTTTCATCATTTGATTAAGATTACCACTAACAACATATTTATCTCAAAACAAAATTTGCGGTCATCAATTTACGAAAAACAAAGTCCAAAAATAGCAGTTGAATTTGTTTACCATCTCAGTTGATATAAAGCTATATCTACCACCTAACTTCAAATTAGTTAGTAATCATAAACAGAAGTCAGCGATTAGAAATCATTTGTTTATACTTGGAGGGGTGTACTTTTACACCTAGTTGTTGCATGTATTTTGGGGGTTCTATAGCCCCAAAGTTTAATCCTCTCTCGAAATAATCTGAGTATCGATGACTTGGCAAATATTAGAGGCAAGTTTAAAGACTTTATGTTAGTGATCAAATTATATGTTGTTTGCATGTCATTTGAGAAGCAACACGATCAAAGATTTGTTCAAATTTACTCTGTCATAGATTTATAAGTTCCTGCGCGCATGCTAACATCCCTCCAAGGAGCTCGCTCGTCAGTTTCAAGTTGAACTCACAAACACAAGTTTAAACCAAATTTACCTATTTTCTTATCATCACACAAGTATAAAAACTGGTCCTGGATCGGGCCGACCTTTTCAGTAGCCAGTAATTTATAGCCAATAAAGACGTCCGGTCCAGTCCAGCCTAGTGTAGTAAGTAATAAGAGTCAGAGGTCTGACATTTGGCCCACTTTCAAACCTGGCACGGGCCAGTAGTCTAAACATATCAAGCACCTAAGCAAACTAGAAGTGATGATTATGCTTATTTTGACTCCTAAATTTTAGTTACTTAATCGAGACGATAGTGAAACCGATACTTAACTTTTTATCTCTATCAATATAAGTATATACTATCACTGCTCGATCAAACAGATTGGAACCAGCAAGTCTATTAATTTACATAACGCACACCTAGAGAAAAGCTTAGAGGCGCAGCAGAGGCAATTCAAGTCGAGGCGAATAATGAAAATATTGAGTTGGTCTGAATTGAATTACAAGCTTTTAATTAATCAAAACAGTAATTTAGCTTGTCTGATCTGATAACGATAGCTGAGCTGCTGAGTATCGCCACGGACGGCTACTTAAACCACCAATCGAACATGTCTCTCTTGTTAAATGAAGTCAGCCACTGATTCTCGTCTAGAAAAATCATCGATCGCTTGTCTGCGATTTCAAAAATAGACTTCTTTATTTAGAAAAAATGACAATCATAATTTTTCAATGCGAAAGCAATTTGTTTCTGACGTTCGCGAATAGTTTTGAAGATTTTTTGTTTCCTATCTGCGTGTCTTAAAATTGCAACTGAAAACAACTGATCAAAAATAGCTATAAACCAGAACTGAGCTTTCATGGGAAAAAACTGAGCTTTCATTGAAAAAAAATTGATTTTAAAGGATTCTATTGGCAAAAAGTTCAAGCAATGTTATGATTTCTAATGACCCATTTAACCATGGGAATGTTTTTCAGGGAATTTAAATCAAACTTTTTCAAAATCAATAATCCATTAAATTCGATCTAGGTGATCTAGGGGTTTCTCGAGGGATGCGGATTTCAAAAAAGTTTTCAAAATTTTTTTCTATCTTTTTTTAGGTCGACCAAATGGATTTTCTGAGCTCATTCAAAGCACTAAAAAGAGCCTGTTTCGGCCAAACTTTTTGCGTCGCCAGGCTAAAAAAAAGATTTTTTTTTTTCGACATTTTTAGGACAGTTTTAACCAAAACATGGGGTGTTTTAGTACTAAAAAGGGGATCCTTTGGGTAGCCAGGGGGTCGAACCCCAGAGAAAATACGTCCGACCCTAGGTTGAAGGTTGAACATAGGACGAGGCGAGGCGGCGAAATGGAGTAAAAATTGGGAGAGCGTAAGGGGGGGGGGAATGATTAAGAACGGCAAAAATTAAAACTAAGAAATTGTAAAAAAAAAAAAGTGTATAATGAAATTTAAAATTTGTTTCAGTGACAGCAGCGGTAAATTTTGAAAGTATACTAAACTGCGTTTGAAAATTTTAGACTGATTTAAGAAAAAAGATAACAATCCATTAATTTTGATTCTGATGGAATGAATTGGATTCTGATGATTTTGAAAATATTTGCTTTAAAATCCATTTTTGTTCCTTTAAAATCGATTATTTGAAAACTATTGTTGAAGATCGTAAATGTATAATGTCGAAAAAGGTTTGTTTGTTAAGTTTAATTGTAGGCAACTGTTAGGCATCAAATCAAAATCTTACTGCACTGTCTTATTTCAGATCACATCGGACATTAGAGATCGCAAGGTCACGACAGCAGGTCCCCAGACAGAATGAACAAATTGATAGCACTTACATAAACTCAGAACTCGTTCCTATCTCAATCAAATTGATAGCACTTACATAAACTCAAAACTGGTCCCTATCTCATTCGGGCAACCACAAATAAATTTTAGAGCGTAGATATAAAATTTATCAACTCATTGTTTCTTTTGGTATACGTTCATGTTACTAGTTAAGTTTTAGTTTAAATTGAGTTTTCAGGCACACTTGCCAAACCTCTCTTAAGGTTTCTTACTTTTGTCATCACTTGTGCTCTATTCGATGGATCATAACTCCTCCCATTTTGTCAACTCCGCGTCTCTGTCGCGTCGATTTTCTCGTCACTGCCTCGCCTTTTCTTCGTTTTCCACCGACGTTTCTCGGTGATATCTCACTGTCCTTTCCCGACGGTACATTATCTTCCTCGCTCGCCGTAATCCTCACCGGTTTGTTCCTTCCATTTTCCCACTCGCTATCTTCTTCGTCCTCGCTCTCGTCCGCACTGATTTTCGCGCGTTTTCCATCTCGACTCGATCTTTTTCGGCTCTTCTTTTACACTTTGTGGGCTCACTTGGGCCCGGGTACTTTTTTCACTTTTACTAGGACCTGGGGTGCACGCATTACTTCTATCCTCAATTAGGCTTTCTTCAGCCGCCGATCTAAAAGAAACACCACTTCGCCTTAGTAACGACCTTTTTTTTTTCATTTGCACCGTTTGCTTAGTTAATTTTTCAATTTGCAATGGTAAACGTTTATACCTTCTTGGGTCCTTCGGATCCGTTTTTCCAGTCCTTTGGTAGACTGTCGTTGAGCTGGTCTTTTGCCTCTTGAGCCATGCTGGAGCTTTAGGTACAGGTCTTACTTCCTTGGGATCAGCTACTTCCTGAGCCTTGGGATCCGTTTCGGCTACCTCCTCGTCATCCAAAATGATCGGAGTTTTCCTGTTCTCTGAGGCGTATACCAAATCGCTCCTCTTCTCCCAATCTAGGGCTAGCTCTACCTACGGGAGATTTCCCGCCTTGTCTAAGCAAGATAACTTCTGATTAACAACATTGTTCCAATTTAGATTTTTCAATGATCGTTTTTTTCGTTAAATTTTGCAGAGCCGTATTCGCTTCTCTTCCATGGTAGGCTTCAAAAGGCGTTATCTTAGTCTTAGAATGTGGCACAAAACGTAACGCGCTGAGCCCACGGGATATCATTACTCCAAACTTATAGTTTTTATTTTCCTGGAGATAAGCTAGCACGTAATTTTTTATCGACCCAATAGCCCGTTCAACCATTCCTGTTGCGCGATGGTCCCTAACCGGAGATTTAATAAGTTCGATACCTTCATAGTTACAGAAATTTTGAATTTCTTTAGAGAAAAACCCCGTGGCTTGATCCATGTGCAATTTCCTTGGGTGTCCATGAGTATTTATGTAATTCCTTAGGAACTTCAATACATTTTTTGATTTGTTGCTTGAACAGACATACGCCGACGGCCAATGCGAAAAAGTGTCTACTGCTACAAGAACATACTTCTTCCGACCCCTTACGTAATTGACCGGGCCCCAGAAATCTAATTGGACCAAATCATTCGATTCCTTAGGCACTTAAGTTTCCCCCATGTCACTTTTTGGGATATCTGGTTTAAGATTTTTTACCTGCTTCTAAGCAGTTTTTGCAGTATTTTGCTGTAGCGGCGATGTTCCTGTGCATAAGTGGTATCCACACATCTTTTGCGGCTGCAAACATTTTGTCACGCCCATGATAGTTAAAGTGTAGACCATTGAGAACTGCTGATGACATATCCTTCGGTATGGCTAACCGGCCGTCCATCCACAGGCAATTTTCATGTACGGCAAAGTCATTGTAGTGTTGAGCGTAGTATTGTCCCAGTTTTGTTATGATCTCATTGGCTCGTGGGTTCTTGTCTCTGATTGTATCCCTGATGGTTTTCAAAATTGGGTCTTTTTCTATATTTGCTTCTATCAATTTCAAACTCAGAACCTCCGGGTGTTCAATCTTTTAACGATTTTACTGTCTGATGGCACTATGGAGTAAATCCATTTTTCCCTCTGTACAAGTGGGTAGGATAACCCGGGGAACTGGTGGGGAAACGAGATGATCGTGCTTAACTTTTTAGAAATAGTCTGTTTTTTAGCAAGTTTTTCAGGAGGTATTAGTTCAATATCTGAATCCGAACTGACACT